CAACTTCTTTGCACCTTATCTTTTCTACCTAAGTATTTTATTGTATTTAAATGTACCTGGCTGCTATGACAACCTAGTTTCCCTTCTGGGATTATCTATCTATCTACATCTCAAAGGTACCAGATACTTGATTTTGAACATATCACTGGGCCTTGGAAGTTCATTTATTAAATAATGAACAATGGTCTCCTGAGTCTACATTCAGCAGGACTACTTCAGGGTAGTTTTGATCTGAACATCACAGAATAGTTCAGACCAGGTCTGGGTATATGAACCTGCCTTTCTTCGGTAAAAATTTTACAGAAAAGCTTTTGTCTATAATATCATGGTAGTTTTAGTTTGCATAAGATTCAGTATTTTCCTTATGTTTTTCTTTCCAGAAGTGATGCAAGCCAGAGGACAGATGTCTAAAGGAGAGAGAGCTTCACACCAGCACCCAATTCATTTCTTTCCCACGGTTTGCTTCAGATCACCCAGTTGATATCTACTGTCAGATATGGAATATCTAACATTGATTTAGCCCTCTTCCAATTTCATTTTTCCTCTCCTTGCTATTTTTTCTTATTTAATTTACGTCATCTAATCACTTTTGTTAGATGGTTGCCAGGGGCAACCCCTCTAAGTAAAACCCTTTGTGGCTATGTAATTTGTTTAACCATTTTGGAAATCCATGTGGGTGTGTCGATTGCCATCAGGACATTGATTAAAGCTTCCCACACAGTCCTGCCTCTAAGGAGGCAGCGAATGAAAAGGGTTTATTTTTCATTGACGGGACCCCCTGAGTCAGACCCAGTCAGCCAAGGCCGTGAACAGTCATGCTTCACATCTCTACACCCCGCACCACCCACACAACTGCACACTCACACAACCACGCATGTCTCTGTCTGGCTGGCTGGCTGTGAATTGCCAGTGCTTCTTAAGAAGAGCTAATCAAGTGCAAAATGTTTAACCTCTTTCCCCCCTCAGGTCATTGGTGGGTCCCTCATTATGAACTCATGTTAAACAGGCAGGCACTGCTCAGACCCAGAGAACTGTTTTGAAATTCTAGTCAATCACAAGACACATTTAAATGAGCTGAATTATGGGAAAATACGTTTAACTAAAAAAATTGAAAAACAAGACTTCTAGAGTGATCTATTTAAAGTAATGGTGCAGCCATAAATGAATAAATTAAATATTTCTCTCACTGAGTATGATTTAGCTTCACTGAAGCTCTGGAACAGGCAGGCTCAAAATATATGTGATGTTCTAGTGATGAAGTTGCAGATTGCAATTAACTGAACATTCATCGTGTCTGTATTTGACAACCAGGGGATGAGTCTAGATAAAAACCGCTCATTCTTAGGTACTGGAAACATAGTAATTACTGTATTCAGGTAATTATGGACTAATGAAAATATACCTATGAATATTATATTCCATTTTTTGCCTATAGATTCTCCTGCATCTTACACACTGGACCTTTTAAGGGGAATGTGGGTAATACATGTTGATTTATAGGTAAAGTGACCATTGGTTATTACTCCATTCAATAGGTTATCCTTCCTCTTCTGGAACAATATGCGAAGAGCTACCGTCTCTATTTCCTGTCCACTTCTCTCTGCTCAACTGGTAATAGAAGCCATGCCTCAAAAAAGGAAAAAGAGATGATTGCAAGGTATGTGTCACTTCTGAAAAAAACACACACCGTATGTTGATTAAACTTGCAACATTTTAAAAGGTCCTTACACTCTTGCACATCATGTTGTTAGGGGACAATTCCTCAGACACGTTCTGCAAAATAAGTTTTATTTTATTTCAGGGCTTCTCTAGCAGAATAAACCTCATTCTTCTGTGCTGCCATTCTTCTGATTTCGTGTCCCATAATTACTTTTTCCACTCTCCTCTCCTCATTACTTCACTTGTCTTTTCTCCTCAAATCCAGCCTCTTTTGTAAGCTTGCAGCTCTAGTAAGACACAGGATCTCGCTCTTTGGTAAGGATGGTGTGAAAATAAAGCTTATTCAGACATTCATTTGTTCCACTTCTTCTTCTTCTTCCTCTTGTTTGTTGCTTCCTTGGTTTGTTCTTTGATTGTTCATGATTGTTTCTGTATGTGTTAATGTTTAGCCTTCATTTTTGTCTCTGCTTTCTCTAAGATGTCTGATTGTCTGAGATTCATCTAATTTTTGTGTCTTGTGTGCATGTTCTGTAGTTGTATCTCTTTGTCTGTGCATGGGTGCCAGCATTTTGGATTTAATGTGTGTGCACTTGTGTGTGTGTGATTTCCCAGGAAACGAAGCCGCCTCAGTTGCAAGCTGCCTCCATGTTTTGGCTCAGGCTCTGGATGCCAGGTAGCTAGATGGCACTACTGTCACACTCTGCCTAAATCGATCTTCTCGCTCTGCCTGCGGTCAAATCAGTGTCACACAACCATGTCTGAGGATGAGATGGCCGGTGTAATTGAGCCACTGACACACTGATGCTATCTAATTGTGGCTGATATCACTTTTACTCCCTGAGGACAATGCCTCTGAAGCATGACGCTAGAAGTGGAATCTTGGTTCTGCAGAGATTGATGTCATTGGGGCTTGTCTAGTGGATAGATTAGCAACTGATTTAGCCCACTTAACTGGTTTTATTATAGCTTGCTAAAAGCCAATTCTATAACCTTTTTAATTTATTGGACTTTTCATTTCAAATTGTTCCTTTTACATGATGTATTTTTGTAGAAGAAAATGTTAACTACAGTTACACATTTAGTATTTCCGCAAATGCTTTTCACAAAAACATTTTCTCATCCCTTCCTAGGACCTTGATGAAGTCAGCCCCAGAGTCTATCCAATCATCCCTGCATTTATTCTTTGAGGCAGCCGCAGCAGATCTGGAGACGACTGTGGAAAACCTTTCTGTGACCTTGGTCTGTTTGCCTCAGAGTAGGAGTCAACAGGCTAGAGGAGTGGCCAAAGTCCTCAGCTACACAAACTCCATTCTTCTCCCCACCCTCACTTCCCTCTTCCAGCATGTTAGCATCCAAAATTATGGAGTGGACCTCCTAGGTAAGGGCTACCTTGATGAGACCACTGTGAAGGAATAATGTCTCAAGTTATTGTACGATACACCCTTAAATACACTGTTCTAATGTAACTTGTTAACATACCTTCTTGTTATCATCTCACAATAGTAAAATTAAAACCACAGCCATATGTATTCAGTAGTCTCATTCATTTCCCTCTGTATGCTACTGAGCTGTGTGAACAGCTGGTTTCCACACCCCTGAAATCACTCAGGGACACCCTCCCCTCAACTTCCTACCTTCCTCATCTTTGAAACCAGCTCTCATTAAATGTCTCAGTCATGGTCACAGAGCAGCAGGAGCATATTGTCTCCCTCACTAATATCCTGACCTTCTAGGAATCATTTATTACCTTAATCAGCAGCCACCCTGCTAGACCATTTCACTGTGATTGTATGCTGTCAGCTTTGCTACTCAGTGTCCGTGTTTTCAGAAAGAAACCTTACAGAATCTCAGCTTTAAGCATCACCTTGTCTTTCCAGTGGGGAGTATCCAGGTGTCCTGTTACAGGATCCTCAACAGCCTTTACTCTCTTGGCACCAGTAGCAGCATCTACATGGAGGGGTACTGCCTATATTGCTATATGTATTTGTTTTTTTATCATGTTTTTCTCTATTTAAGGTCTATATATAATTTTTCCACATTTGGTTATAATTGATACTTATTAACTTACTTATTTAAATGCTGCATAAATGCAATGCATACTGTACATACATAAAACCACATGAATTGTCTGCACACATTGATTTCACATTATTACTGGGGCTTACAAGTATAACCCATGTATTACGTCTATTATTAAATGTATTAAGGCCAAGGTGAGATTTTTGAACCTGAGAAAGCAGCTAGCAAGTAAACTTACTTTAATAATCCTACTACAAAGAGTTGGATAAGATTTGAACATGAATCAGTCCCGTGCCTGTGTCATAACACAGCATATTCATTCAGGCAGAGGCCAGCAGCAGGCGCTTGTCTGGCAGCCCTGACTGGGACATTTCCTGTATCTTTCCTGGAGCCAGCCCTAAACCAAAACAACCCTTACTCCATCTACAACACCATGAGTGCTACTGAGAGAGAAGGTAATAAACATTCATACTGACATTTATCAGTTTTGTCTGTTACATCTTGGGCTTATTAAATAACTTTCACCCCCAGATCTTCAGGTTTCCCCCCCCTTATTTTTGATAATTGTTTCTTTTAGACATGGGGTTGCCAGATCAGGTAGAGGACATGTGTCCTCTCCTGCCTTCTTTGGAACAGGCTCTGGGGGAAGTAGAGGAGTTGGCAGGCGCTGGTGCTGGAGCTCGCCAGGCCCACTACATCCATGTCACGGAGGTCACCTTGCCCATGCTGTGCAGCTACATGTCCCTTTGGTGGTACTGGGGCCCTGAGGGCCAGCCAGACAGCCCAATCTGCACTTCTGTCATTCCTCAGCATTCCAGTGACCTACTTGGCCACATCCTCTGTATCATCCACCATCATGTGGGTGCTAGCCAGGGTGACTGGATGAAACAGCTGGCAGGTATTGTGGTGTGGATTTCTTAATTCCACATCAGTTATGCCTTTCATTCTTCTTTTCCCCCACTTTTAACAGTTGTCATGTCTTTCAGTTTTTTGTCAGCCAATCATATGCAAAGCCCGCTCTAAGCTGTTAAAGAGCCACTTCCTGCCACTGATGGAGAAATTGAGGAAGAGGGCAGAATGTGTGCTGCTAGAGGAGGAGCAAATGAAAGCAGCAGAGTGTGATACATCAGAAGCAGAGATGCAGATACAGGAGAAGTTCACTGTGCTGGTGCGAGACCTCTACACCTTCTATCCCATCCTCATCCCATTTGTGGATTCTAATCGGTAAGGCATGCTACCAGGGAGCTTAGATGTGGAGAAGCAAGCTTATTTTCTGTGGCCAAAAGCTCCAGGAGAAATTAGAAATATTTATAGACTCAGTGAAAGGAGCTCGATGAACCAGTCAATATTGTAAGTTATTCAGAAACCTTTTGGACACCAAATTTTCCATTAATGTCTCTTGGAAAGCTAAAGCACTGAGGAAATAATTGTTAAACAATTATTGGTCAATTGTAAACAGTGAAAAGTACTTTAAAAATAATATTTTTGGACCCTTAAAAAAATCAGCTTGGGGGGAAAAATAATATATTTGGACCCTATTAAAAATCAGATTGCTGAGAAAAATAATATTTTTGAAGATTCCAAAATAGTAAGATGCATGGCATTAGTTAGTTATTATTCAAGGCATATGTTTAGCTTTACAGGAGTAAATTCTGCGATGATAATGTGTTTTGGTCTGTCTTGTCTCAGAGCCAGCTGGCTGAAAGAATCTAATCCTGATGCTGAGCAGCTGTTCAGCATGGTGGCAGTGGTCTTTATATTCTGGGCAAAATCTCATGTGAGGATGACTCATAATAATGTTTTTTTTGTTTTTGTCAATACTATCCAAGTAAATAGTGTACGTTTATAAACCATGGAATTTTTCTTTTCCTATTTTTGCTACAACAGAATTTCAAATGGGAGGAACAGAACTATGTGGTCCAGAATGAAATCAATAACTTGGCTTTCTTGGTCAACAACGACAAAATGTCAAAGGTCAGCCTTATTTCTTATGACTCTTAGACACTACTAGACTCTTAGACACTACTAGTTCAAATAAGTTCATTTATATTCATGGCTTTTCAATACTCAGTTTAACCACGAGAAAAGAAGGATGAAGAGGAAGGGGGATCGTTATTCCACACACACCTCTCTCATTGTGGCTTCTATGAAGAGACTGCTCCCTGTGGGACTGAGGGTTTGTTTTCCAGGCGACCAGAGCCTGATCACGTTGGCTAAGAATGGTTTCACTCAGGTTGGTTGGAAATGTGGACAGTATTAATGATGTCCCCTTGATGACGAAATCTTTCAGGTGTCAATCACAGTGTAGTGAATGTGTGCCTGTGATGATCTGCAGCGTGGTGTGATCATAGTAATGATGAGGGTCTTAAAATATCTTTGTGGTATATATAGTATATTTAATGTTAATAGTCATTGTTTGCTTTCCACAGAAGCACACTGAAGATGAGATTCGAGAGCAAGTTTTCAACTGCCTTATACATCAGAGTCAGGTAAAGGCTGTCACTGCATTTTCATTTTTCTGTTTTAATTATTTATACAATATTTAAAAGAGTATTAAAACACATTTTTGGGCTTTTCTTGGGGTTTTTTTGCACAAAAAACATGCTTAGATTTCTTGTCTTACTTAGTGGAATTTCTGTATCAGTCTATCCTTAGTTGGAGCAGAAATTAAGTGCAAGTGAAAAAAAAAGAATATATAAATCGGTTGTATGAATTCTGAATTTTGAGTATAAACAAAGCACATATCTTTTCTACACTCCACATATTCGTTGACATGCCAAAGAAGTGTGTGGTAAATTAAATTGAAGGAGCTCTCATAGATTGTGAAATTCAAAGCTGTTTTTTTAATAATCTCTGTCAGTGATTTATTGTTCACCAGCGAGTATGCATGTAATATTTGTTTTTTTATGAGTCACTGACAAATATGTTTATTCATAAGACAGTGATGAAAAAATGCATATATTTATGCTTTGTCATTAGCATATACAAACTTTTAAACAGAAATTTGACCATATTTTTCACAGTCCTTGATCCATTGATCCATCCTTTGTTGGTTATATGAAAATGATTAACTATTATTAAATTAATTATTTGTCAGCAGTGAGTCTTAGTAGTTGTTGTTGTTGTTGTTGTTGTTGTTGTTGTTGTTGGTTAAATGAGAATTCAAGCAAGGAATTTAAAGACAATGGGAAAAGCAAGATTCCAGACAATTTGATTCCTAATGATGTTTTTGAGCCTAGCCATTCAAACCAAGCTCCTTCACTAATTCCTTTATGTGTGTTTGCCCTGTGCTTGTTCTGAACTGCTGATTCAGACTGACTTTTCTGACAGCAGCATTTCTAAAAATATTTTTAATTGAATAGTTGAAATACCGGGATAAATGAAATAAATGTGCCATTCTTTCTTCTCTTCACAGGGATCAAATTGCTCGAGGCAGGAGACCCTTTATGCAGAAGCTCAGAGACAGCTAGGGGTCATCAATGACACCCAAAGGACTGTAGACAGGATTTTGGAAATAGCTCAAGTCCTTTATTACCTGGACCAGGTGAGCTTTAAAAATAATATTAAAACAGATATTCAGACATTCAAATATATTTTTTTAAACAAACTACTGAAAATGTGTACTAGTAGTCCAGTCAACTGCTGGCTCTAAAATGACAAGAAGACATATTGCCTACATAGATTCAATGATGGATCTCTCTTTTGTAGGCATTTTACACAATACATATTGACATGTCACAGAAAAAGCAGCTTCAGTTTCAGGGTCCTGGTATTGTACATACTAGCTTACTCTCACACTGCCATAGCTAACTGGGACAGAATGGAGTCATTATTGATTTTATTGGTAACAGAGAGGATAATATTAATTTCTTAAGGAAACTGAAAGAGGCCTTTTCTGGTTTATAATGTCAAAAACAAGTTTTGTGTGATTGTATTTATTTATTTTCAAATACATTGAAGCAGACACCTCATTTACAATAAGCCATTAAAAAATAAAGATAAACAAAATATCCTATATACTAGGTAACTCAAATAAGAAGCTGAGATAAAAATGGCAATAAAAGTACAAAAAAAAAACCTTGAAGTAAAGCAATACAATTTTAAGCAAATGAATCAACTAAAACAAGAACAATTGGAAGTGAAATAAGATGAGATTAAATATTTAAATTGCCCTGAGGATGGAAATGAGATTTAGATTGATCTTCATATTATTCCAGGTTGCTGGTGCACAATGAGAAAAACTGGATTTTCGAAGCTCATTAAAAACAGCAGGCACCCGCAACCTAATAGAATTCTTTGAGCCGCATTTGAAAACAGCATTGACAAAAGTGTAAAAAGAAGTGGCCTTATGAATAAATAAACACCTCATGTCTATCATGCCTGACAGGGGGACAGGGCCACGCAACCTTGCATACATGTCACAATGATGAGTATTATAATTATCACCAGTAATAAATCTTAGTGCATATTGATAGAGGGCATCTGGAGGCTTTAGAGATACAGCTGATGCAATGTCACTGTAATCTAAGACTGATAGGAAATATCTATGAGGTCCAGAATTTGATTTTAGCCCCATCTGTATGTCATGTCGTCACTGGGCCAGTATCTCAACCATTGTGTGGTGTATATATACTGTAGGCTGTACTTTTATGCATTCTATAAAAATCCCTGATGAAGACTGAGTAGAGTTTTCTTCTTGTTTTCTTCTTGTCTTCTGTAAATTAAGTGATTTTGTTGTTCATTGAGTCTTCATTAGACTCTGGTCTGTTGTGTTGAGTAAAGTAAAGACTGGTATGGTAGAAGTTACAGTAGTGTTGCTTAATTGTTTTCTCATCTAATTTAAAGTCTGGGATGAGAAAAAATGGTTGTTCTTATTCCCAACACTAATTTATTTTGAACATATTACATTCAAGAAAGTAATGCCAACAGCACTAATGCATGATAAATGCAAGACAAATGTATAAAGCGGAACTTCTGCAACAACCAACATGGAAACCCCTTATGTCATTGGAGGTTCCTGTGCACTACCTTGTTAACTTCTCTATCTTTGGTTTTGTTGTCAGGTGGAACACCCGCAGAGAAGCAAAAAACCTGCAGGGAGCAAGGTCTTATCCAAACAGAGGAAACGAGCGGTGGTAGCCTGCCTAAGGATGGCTCCACTCTACAACTTACCCAGGTACAAACGCATTATGTATATATGGATGCTTTGCACCCATAAAAGTCCAGTATGTACTCAGGTTACTTGCTATATATATATATATATATAAATATGAGTGAACATTTTTCCCTGAATGAGTCTTGTAAGAGGGAGAGAATCGTCTCCTGATTTGTCATGTAGGATTTGTTGGTTCTTCTGTAGGAGTAGTGTTTTCAGACCCTCTGAGATTATACATACATTTAACAGTTAAGCCTCAAAAGAGTGAAAACGGGTCTGAAAAAATAATTATATTAAAGGTTATCAACAAGATGGCCCTTGGCTGTTTTTAAATTATAGTAATTTTGTTGCTTCATTCATTCATTGAGGGCTTTTGATCTCCTGATTGGCACAAAATGAGTTGGGGAAAACCAAAATTTCATCA